GAAAGTCATACATAAAAAAGGGTCCCAATGTCTTCTATGTTGTCCCCTTCATAGGGCATTTAATCAACAAAAAAGTTCCACCACTGTGTAACACTAATGATTCATCATCTTGAAAACCCAAAGCTGTTTCTTACTTGCACACTACCAAACTTTCACTTTCTTTCCAGTTTCCACTAATGTTTTGTTATTTCTGAATTGTGTATATATATATAACATGGTCTCTCACTAATCAGTCATTTACAAGATTGGTTCCTTCCCTAATCTCCCACCTAAAATGCGACGAGTTTTTGTCCTAAACTGTCTTTAGGTTCTGCATTTTTTTTAGTTCTAAACCATCCTATCAGTGTATCTCCAGCTTTATAAAAAAACATCTCATCATTCCGAAAGATAACAGCGAGTAAACACGTACCTAGGCCGGAGGAGTCCATTACTCCAATCTGATTAGAGGAAACCATCCCCATCTGCTTTAAACAAAACGAAACAAGATATGTACATACAGTGGATCTCTCATCTCATCCACATTGCTAAAGAAGTTAGCACAGGACATGAGTGTTTCCAACACAAACATGAACCAGCAAGCTGTAAAGAATGCTTGGAATGACATGATATGATATAGCAGGGCTAGCTGACAAAGGTATCAATTATCTAGCAATATATCCTTTAGATTTAAGGTTAAACTCCTTAGTGGTATATATACCATGAACCGATTTAGTTATTTACACATTGCATGTTTCCAATCAATGCACCTCCGAAACACAAAAGCCTAGACAGGTTTCAAACCTCACAAAACCAAAACACGAAGTCCTAGGAGAGCCACAGTATTGAAATTCAATTACAAATGCAGCTAGAGGTTTCTTCCTGATCAAAATTATGGGCATCATCTCCCACATATTGTACTATGCAACCTAGTTCAAGCAGCGATTGGAAGGCTACGCGTAGAGCATACAACAGGTAGTCTACACCATAAACAGATATTTGAGATCGTCTACTGTCAGTCGTGTTGCAGAGCTTCCACCACGATCTTCACCAAATGCAGATGCAACCATTTTCCTTTTGTCTTCCTGATAAAATTTTAAAAAATGGAAAATGATAATGCTGGATTTTGACAAAATTCCTTAACCCTCACATNTCCCAGCACAAAAAGCTATTTAATATTTAGCTACAAAATTAATCTGAAATGGAATCTGAGGGAAATCGAATCCCAAGCCAGAACGAGCTGGTAGATTGCAAAGAATACCTGAAGCTCCAAAATTCTATCCTCAACGGTATCTTTTATAGTAATGCGAGTAACAGTAACTGGCCGAGTTTGTCCAATACGATGTGCACGATCAATAGCTTGATCTTCGGTTGTTGGATTCCACCAAAGATCCAGAAGAATAACATGACATGCAGCTACCATATTCAGCCCAAGGTTTCCAGCTTTTAGAGACATCAGCATCACCGTTACCTGTAAATAAAGTTTGCACTGCTTTAGAGAGCTTCATGATCAAAATATTCAATGAGTAGTAAACTTATTTTGGAAAATATATCTAAGATATTCACATCACTTACATCTGGATCATTGCTGAATTCTTTTACAGCTCTGTCTCTTGCTGCTAGACTCATCGTACCATCTAATCTTCTGAATTCTATACATTTGTCATCAAAACACATCTCAATCAAATCAAGCATACCAGTCCACTGAGAGAATATTATCGTCTTCACTGTCTCCTGGCT